GTCACTTCAGCCGTGAAAAATGCCCCATATTCCTCAAGGAAGTAGTGTCCTCTTTATGACTCAGTTGCCTAAGTCTCAGGGTACCTCTCCTGTGGATTGAAAATGATGGGATATGGGTCTCCTGTGTGTTCCAGGCACTGCTTTCCTGTAGCTAGAAGCTGCAGGCAGAGCTGCTTTGTCAAAGTTCACCCAGCTGCCTCTACCAGGCTACTCTGGGATGATTGGTTTGAGGTGGGTGAGTGGGAAGCGAGTTCACGTGCCTGTGGTTTTGTTCTCTCCAGTGGTTTTAGCCACAATCAGTACCAACCACTTAGGCTGGAAATTGTTTTTCCAGTCCTATCCTGATCTGCCAAGTGAAGATTTTACTTCTGGGTGGGCCACAGGGGCATGGAATGAGCACGTACCTGTGTCTGTGGTATCCTTTTCCTGATCATGGTGGGCTGTGGAGTGCTGGGACCTTTTGCACTGCTTCTCTGCTTCAGACCCTGGGCTCAGCAACAATGTGTGCCAGCCACCCAGGCCCAATTGCTGTCTCTGCTCCTCCAGGTTGCCCAGTGGGGCTTGCACCCTGATTCTTCACTGCTATTGTGTCCACTGGGGTACAGTGAGCACTGGACTGCAGATGGCTTCCATGTCTGACTTTTCATCCCCATCCAATTTCCTCTGTTCACCAAGATGTGCCCACTTTCAGATGTCTCAATGTGCAGATCTCTCAGATGTGTTTGTGTATTGAGCAGAGAATCGTTTGTTGAATTACAGCTGTCCAATTTATTGTTGTAACCTCTAGGGGAGGGACCTGGAGGTCCTCGCATGCTACCATTTTGCTGACGTCATACTCAAAGTGTTTTCTCGTTTAATAATGATTTCTTATTTAACCCATTGATTAATTAGGAGTGTGTGTTTAATTCCCACATATTTGTGAATTTCCATAATTTGATTCTCTTATTTAATCCTAATTTCAATTCATTGTGGTCAGAGAATATACTTTGCAATTTTTTGATTGTTTCAAATTTACTGAGGCTTATTTCATTGCCTAACATATGGTCTATTTTGGATAATGTTTCTTAAGCACTTGAAAAAGATGTATGTGTATTCTGTTGTTGTGTGGAATATTCTGATATGTATATTAGTTCCATTTGCTTAACAGTGTTGTTCAAGTGTTCAATTTCCTTTCTGATCTTTTGTCTAGGTGTTTTATCCAAAATTGAAAATGGAGTATTGACACCTCAAACTATTATTGTTAAATTGTCTATTAGTCCCTAAAATTCTGCCAGTTTTTGCCTCATGTATTTTGGGGCTCTGTTGTTTGGAGCTCTTGATGGATTGACACTTTTGTAATTATAAAATGTCCTTCTTGATTTCTAGTAACAATTTTTGTCCTTAAGTCTACTTCGTTGGATATTAGTATAGCTACTATTGCTTTAGTTTGGTTGCTGTTTACATGGCATATCTTTTTCCATCCTTCTATTTGCAAACCACTTGTGTTTTTAAATCCTAAATATACATGAAATATAGTTGGATTATTTTTCCTTATTTATTCTGCCAACCTCTGCTTTTAAATTTAAGAATTTAAGGGCCAGCCAAGTGGCTCAGTTGGTTAAGAGCTCTCTCAAGAGTGTGAGCTCTGAGCAACAGGGTCGCTGGTTTGATTCCCAGCCCAAACTGAGCTGCCAACAGGTGGCAGGATGGCTTAGCTAAAAAAAAATTAAGAATTTAATTTGTTTACATTTAATGTAATTGTTAATCAGGTGAGATTTATGTCTGCTAATTTGCTATTTTTTATATCTTGTCTTTTTTTTTTTAAGATTTTTATTGGGGAATTGGGGGGATGGGAACAGTGCTGGGGAATTGGGGGAAGGGGAACAGACAAGTTGCTGTCGTTTGTTCTTCAGTCTAGTTGTGGAGGATGTTGCTTCACTGGCCCAAGTTGGCACCATCATTGCGCTCTTCTCTGGCAAGGCAGATCAGTCGCCGGCTTCTGGACGGCCGCTCACTGCGGCTGCTGGCCGCTCACGCTGGCTGCTGGCTACACATGGTAGCCCATGGCAATCCACTGCCACAGGGACTGCAGTCCAAGCCGTCGCCGGCGACTCATGGCAGGCCAGCTCCAGGTTGAGCTGCTGTTCAGCATCTTAGCTGCAGAGGGCAGTGTCACTGGCCCTCACATGTGGGATCCGAACCGGGGCCCTCTGGCGTCCCAAGCGAGTTCTTAACCATCGCGCCACTCGGCCGGCCCTATATCTTGTCTTTATTATTCCTCTACTGTTTCATTACTGCTGTCTTGCTGTAAAAGAGATATTTTCTATTGTTCCATGTAATTTCTTTGTTGTTTCTTCTACTATACATTTTTTTTAGTTATTATTTTGGTGGTTGTCCTTAGAACTACTATAATCTATTAATTTACTACAATCTAGTCTGGATTCATGCTGACTTAATATCAATAGCTTATAAAAACACTGTTTCTATACAACTTCATTCTCCCTCCTTTATTCTGTTATTGTAAGAAATCACACCTTTATACATTATAATCACATCAACATAGATTTATAATCATTGTTTTATGTAGTTGTGTTTTAAGACAGGTAGAAAAAAGTTACAAACAAAAATATATTTATAATTTCTTTGTATTTATTTCTGTAGTTATCTTTACTGGTACTTTATTTCTTCACAATGATTCAAGTAACTATTTAGTGTCCTTGCATTTTAGCTTCAAGAATTCCCTTTAAACTTTCTCATGGGGCAGATCTGGTGGCGACACTCTCCCAGTTATTGTTTATCTTGGAATGCCTTAATTTCTTCTTTGTTTTTTTGAAGCACAATTTTGCTAAATATAAAATTATTGATTGATAGATATTTTTTGGTTTAAGTACTTTGAAAATTTCATTGCACTACCTTATAGTCTCAATTGTTTCCAATGAGAAGTCATTTATTAATCATATGAGAATTCCTTTATATAATGACTTGCTTTTCTCTTGCTGGTTTTAATAATCATTCTTTGGCATTGGCTTTTGATAAGTGTCTAGGTGTAGATATTTTTTCCTACTTAGAGTTCATTGAGCTTCTTTATTTGTAAATTAAATGTTTTTCATAAAATTGGGATTATTTTGACATTGTTTCTTTAAATATTTTGTCTGCCTTTTTCAATTCTCTGTTTCTAAGACTTTCATAATCTGTATGTTGATATACTTGATAATGTCTCACAGGTCTCTGAGGTGCTTCTCATTTTTCTTCATTCATTTTTTTCCTTTCTTTTCCTTGAAGTGGTTAATTTCAACTGTCTTATTTTCAAGTTTGCTGATTCTTTATTCTGTCTGTTTAAATTTGGTCTAGTACATTTTTCTTACCTCTACTTATTTTTTTCTTTCAGTTCTTGTGCTTTTCAAATCCTGTATTTCTAGGTGGTTCTTGTTTCTTCATTTCTATCTCTATTGATATTTTTTATTTGGTTTGAATTGTTCTCATTCTCTTACTTCTTTAGACATGGCTTCCTTTAGTTGTTTAAACATAGTTAAAATAATTGTTTTAAAATATTTTTCTAGTAAGTTCAATACCTGTGTTTCCTCAGGGAGAGTTTTTAATTTTAATTTTAATTTTTGCCTGTTTATAGGCTATACTTTCTAGTTTCTTTGCATATCTTATATTTTGGTTGAAAACTAGACTTTTTAAATAATGTAATAATGTAATATGGCAACTCTGGAAACCTGATTCTCTGTAACACTGGGGCTTGTTGTTGGCACTGCTTATTGTCCTAGTTGCTATTTATTTGTTTAGTGACTTTTCCGAGCTAATTCTGTATAGTCTTCTATATTCTTTGTCATGAATGGCCACTAATTTCTCCTCTAGGTTAGCTTAGTTGCCAGCGAATAATAGAGTAGAGATTTCCTTAAATACCTAGAACCAATAAATCTCCCAGTCTTTACTAAAGAGCTCTGTTGCCTGTTAACATATGTCTTTAACACTCACCTACGAAGTTTATAACTGTCCCAAAGCCTTCATTTTCTCCTTTTTCAGACCCTCAAGGCTAACCAGAAATAAGAACTTATGGTCTTCTCATGTATTTCCTGAGTATACACACAGCCCTATGTATGACTAATGCCTTCTAGATTTCTAAGAATGTGTCAGAGCTTTTCAAAGTCCTTATGGACATCTCATTCCTCAAATTTTCCTTTTAGCTTTTTTTGGTAAGTCTCTTGTTTATGTCTACTGTTATTCGTTGCCTTAAGCAGCTGTGTGACAAATTCTTTCCCCTCCTGAGGGAGAGTTTTGACACTGGATGACCAATAAAGACAAGCTCTTTGAGTCAGGTTTTTCAGGGAACTGCAACACAGGCCAAATAATGACAATTGTTTGGGAATTGAATCTGTTCTCCTGGAATTGTGTTTATTTTCAAGGCTACTACTGGCCTTAGGAGAGGTGATGAGGCTAGGAGTAAGTTAAAAATGCTACGAAATTACAGTTCTTAACAAGACTGGAGTTATTTTTCTTCCATAAATTCTCCTTGGGTTGATGCAAACTTTTGGTTGATTTCCCAAATTCTGAGAAAAAAAGTTTATTATGAAAAATTCTGCTAGTTATTTTATTGCTTTTGTGAGGAGGTGAATATTCAGAGGTCATTACACTACTATTTCCACTGGTATCACCCACAGCCACCTTCTTTGTAATACTGTCTAAGTATCTCTCAAGAGAATGAACAACTAAAAATTAGTTAGAAGCTAGTAGAAACAAAATATGTTTCTCCCATCCAAGTTGAAAAACCTTCTGTACTCTAGCTACACATTCCTTGGGGGGGGGGTCTATGAACCCTGGATTAGTAATCCTGCCTTACAATGATTTGAAGGATAAACAGGTAACACATAACTTTCCACAATCATGAAAGAAATGTTGAGACAGGTCCAAGTATGGACCTTACTGGCCTTTACTTACTTCCCAATTTTCCTAGAGCATTCAACTGTTTCCTCAAAGATGCCAAAAATCTTGACTAATCTTTCTTTTACTTATAGACTCTGCAAAACCACTTGAAACCAAGACTGAGGCATCTACAACCATGCAATCCCCCTTGGAAAGTAAGTTTCACTAGGGTTATTTTGGAGAAGAGGTCTAAAATGGTGTTATGGAAGCCAAGGGAGAAGGTCCCATGCTATTTGACGGATAATAAGAGGTCACAGGCCTATCCAGGGAGAACACGGCAATAAAGTGATAAAAATAAAAGAAAAATAGAAAGGATTTAAAGATTATGAACAAATGCAACTGTGGATATGTGTGTGTGTGTGTGTGTGTATAATCAAACAATGCAGTGAGTGTTTAAATAAAAAAATCATTACAACAAGACACATTGCTATTAATCCCCCTCAAAATACTCCCCTCACTTCAAACACACTTATCCCATCATTCTTGCCACTTTCTGAAGCAGTTCTGGAAGTCCTCTTTCATGAGTGTCTTTAGTTGCATTGTCGCAGATGCCTCGATGTCCTGAATCAATTCAAAATGTTTACCTTTCATGGTCATTTTGACTTTGGGGAAGAGCCAGAAGTCACATGGTGCCATATATATATATATATATATATATATATATATATATATATATATATATATATATATAGTGTGTGTGTGTGTGTGTGCGCAAAAATTGCCATGAATGTTTGAATAAAAAAATTATTACAGTATGTAATATAATACAGTACAGAGTATATAATGTGAAAAATTTTGAGGAAAAAGATGGTGAGATTTAGAATACTCCCATGGGAAAGGAGAACTGTGACATCTATTCTGCTCCTAGTCTGACTTGCTGTGGCACTTTGGGTATGTTGCCTCTCCTTTGTGGGCCTTCTTCTAACCCCCAACAGTAAGAAACTAAGATAATTCATGTCATAGTACTAGTTGTCAATGACATGGCCAGGAATTCTGGAAAGCTCAGCACAAATGCCCAGAGAAGGATCCCAAACTTGGTAGTCGCTATCCAAATCACAGCTTCTGGCTGGAAGAGGGGCCTCTGATCCTAATACCCTCTTGTCATAGCAACATCTACAGTGAATTCATCCTGGGGTTGGACCGCTGAAGTGGATGTCTACCTTAAGGAGACCAGGACTGTGCCAGGTAAGAGCAATGTCACAACTTCCTTTCTGGCTCTGAACTTTGCTACTGAAAAGTCTCACTATATCTACTCTTCTAGCATTGAATTCTGTGACTACTAACTGCTATGCTCAAAGGCCCTGGAGATGAGTGGGGAGGGTGGAATAAAGACAGAGAAAGACAGAGATCCAGGGATGAGCAAAGTCGGAGTGAGGTAAAAGGAAGGGGCAGATTTGCTCTTTGCTGGTTCTCTATTGCCATAGTAATATACTTCACAAACATTCTAAGCAAGAATAGGAATGGAACCATGACTTCAGCCAGCTCTCCTAAGATTGGCATTTGGCCAGGTAAGAGTAATGTCAGAGCCTCATTACTCGAGCTCTTTACCAAGGCTCACCAAAAAGCTTGAAACTGACTTCTGATTCCTCCAAAGTTTGAAGGATTCCTAAGTCATTGTCTCAGAGATCAAACCCTAAAGAGAAGCTCTTTAATGTTTCATGGAGCTGATAGTCAGCTGGTATGCACCAGTATGACTTCGTTGATTGTTAAAATAATAAAGTACTCTTATATTAGCTGATAATTAGATGCTTCCCTTGTTCCCAAGCTCCCCATTATCACCTGGACTTCCCTTTTCTATCCCTTAGAACTCTCCTAACCACCCCGTGGTCTTTCAGCAAAACATGTTGATGCCTAGTATCACAGAGAACCACTAAAACTCCAGATCTATAGTAGGTAGCAGTTTTGATTGGTTGGTGCTAAATAGCTTGATGATAATCACTCGTTATCTCCTCCTCTGGCTGTATACCATTGATGGTGGACTTATTAATACTCTTGTACTTCTGCCCCCCCCCACCCCCTGCCTGGTTGCACAGCTTTTGGGTGTTTTTGTACATAACCCAAACTTGTTTTGTGTGCCACCTTTGCATTGCCAACTTTGGCTTAAAGATTTCTATAACTCCATGCCTCTCCCAGGGCAACATCTGATAGGAGAATTGAGATTAGAAGATACATCTTGAAGATTTGGCTTGGAATGGAAATTCTCAGATGTTGGGTCTGTGCCTTATATCCTCTATCAAGTTTTTCACTACTTGACTTTCTCCAAGGGAAAATCTTTTCTTTTTCTGCATCATTTTATGGCTTGGGTTATCTCAACTCCAACCAGAGCTCTGAGGACCAAAAATACCAGATTTCTAAGATAGAATATTTTGGGGTCTTGTAAAAACAAAACCAATTGCAGCAGTAAATCTTAAGGGCACTGGAATTCCTTTCCATATTTATTCCCAGATTTTGCCTCCTAGATTTAGAATATTGTAGTTACAGTACATTAAACATTATCTAATATTTTCATTGATATTATGAGGAAATTAAGTTTCAGTTAAGAATGTGACTAAGGTCATTGCATTTATTTTTCTATGACTGCTATAAAAATTACCCCAAAGTTAATGCCTTAAAATAACAAAAGTGTATTATCCTAAAATTATGAAGATCAGAAGTCTGACACACTGGCCTAAAATCAAGTGTCAGCAGGGCTGTATTTTTTCTGGAGGCTTTGGGAGAGAATCAGTTTCTTTGCCCTTCCTAGCTTCTAAAGGCTACCCACATTCCTTGGTTCTTGGCCTCCCTCCCACCATTTTCAAAACCAGCAATGCTGCATCCTTGAATATCTCTCTGACTCTTACCTCCTCTTCTGTTTCCATCTTCCACTTTTAAAGGACCCTTGTGATTACATTGAGCCCACTCAGGTAATTCAATATAATCTGCCCATCTCAATGTCAGGTAATTAGCAAACTTAAATCTATCTGCAACCTGAATTCCTCCTTACAATGTAAACTAATATACATGTTCTGGGAATTTAGATATGAACAATTTTGGAAAACCATAGCAATACAACAAGTAAATAACAGATCCAGGACTGGAAGCCCAATCTAGTGCTTTCCTTCATCTTGTAGACATGATTGGAATAGGTAACCCAGGAGACTTAGAGGAAATATGTTTTGACAAAAAAGAAACCTGGGTACTTGGCCATAGAATGTGAAGAAAAGAATCCTGTGGTTAGAAGTAATTGACCAGAATCTGAATAAGGTAACTTTTTTGTGAAGCTGGGAAATCAGGGTACTATTTTATTTTCTTTAAGAGGTGAAAATCTCCTGTCTTGGCCCCATGAAAAGCATGGAGGACTAGTTCAAATGCCCAGGCCAATCAGGCATCAACCAGTGGGTTTGGAAGAATTTGTTTATACATAGAGTCTCTAGCTTCTCACAAGTCTTTGTCATGGGCCTAGGGTTTTGTTTGTCTCTCAGGATAGCTAAGACATTTAGGAGAAGGTGAAAAATGGAAAAGAAAGAGGTGTGAGCTGGTCTGGGCTGATCATTTGGGTCTCTGTTTCTGGACTAATTTTCAACCAGATACCACTTGACCTTGTTTTGCCTTCTAGAAAAGGGCCTGCCTATCTTTGCCAACATTCTCATCGTCTCCTTGTGCTGTATGGTGGTCTTCACCATGGCTTATATCATGCTGTGCCGGAAAAAATCCCAACAAGGTGAGTGATGAGTATGGCTGGGTGATTCTTTTCCTTTCATTCATTTTGGCAATATAGTTGAGCATAAACTCTGTATCAGACACTGTGTTAGGCACCTCAGAGAGCTCCCAGCTTAGTTTGGGAGTTAGGGTAGAGGGGCATGATGACAGACATGCAAGCCAACAATGACAATACAACTTATGAAACTTAATTTACAGATCTTTGATACCCAACCTAGTACAACCATCTCTGTAATGGGTTGTCTAATGAGGATGCAAGAGAAAGAGAAGTCACAGTCTTTGGCCTCAAGTTGTTTACAATTAATTTAGGGGATTCAATGTAGAGGCATGGAGTTTATCAATAATGATACATAGGAATAAAGGCTATGGACTCAGAGCCTGGAGAAAACAATCAATGCCAAAAGTATCCAGATGGAAGGAGAGTCAGTTAGGGTTAGAGAAATTAGCAAGGGCTTTCAGAAGAAGGTGGGGCTATGGCCAGTATTTGGAGGATGAAAACAGTTTGGAAAGGGGTAGTATTCCATGAAGGAGGAACTGTATGAGTAAAGGTGTAAAGGTTTAAAAGATGACTGTGAGTGGATCATCAATAAAGAAAATTCATGTAACAGAGCAATGAGGAAATACAGGGGGAAAATAAAGTTAATTCCTGATATACAATAGAAGGTCTTGAATGAAAGGCTAAGGAATTTGGATTTTCTTCTCTAGGCCTTGCAAAGGCATTAAAAGACACAAAATTTTTTAAAGCAGTGGAATGACATGATGAAAGGGCAGTTGTCAGGGCCATTTAACAACTGTGAACCAACAGAGAAAACAAAGAATTTACATGTTGATTCCTAAGTAAAATCTAGTACATGTCAATGCCTGCTGTACTAGCTGTTTTACCTAGCATTAGTGTATCTATTCCACTGCAGCAGCTCTTACTCCCAAAAAGCCTGGTTTCCACATGGGTCTTTCTAACCAAAAAAGAGAAGGGATCCTTGAATATCTCCTTTTTCTGGGTCTCAACTATCAGCTCTCATCTTGACCAGTTAGCATGGCTATGAACCATGAGGCTAAACTTGGAAATGGAGATATCTCAAGTGCCCACAAATCCCAGGACTACTAAAAGTAAAACATTCATCATAGTCTGAAGGATACTGGGTATAAACTGTAACCATATTAGATTGTTTCCCTTTCAAAAACCTTCCAGGGTTTCCCGTGGTCCAGGGAATAGGGGTCAAAATGTAGTGTTCCATGAAAGGCCCTCTATGACTTGGCTCTAACTTATCTTCTCTATCCCATCATTCCTTCATACCTAGTTTCATTTCTAGTCACTGAAGTCAAACAGGCAAATAGGCTGTACACCTCACATCTTTATGCATTTTCTCTTCCCGGATTCCTGTTTTCTACCTCTTTATAAGGGAGGCAGTCTTGGGGCATCAATTCAGTTCAACATGTAGTTATTGGGTGCCTACTATATGTCAGGCACTAGGCATATAAAAATGAAAAAGGCACAATCCCTGAAGTGTGGAAGCTACCAGGCCAATGGAGGAGGTAAGATGTGGAAATACAAGGCTATCACAAGCAGAAGGCCTGCTGCAGCATGCCATTTTTCCTTTGTTGTAGTGTGATGCATGCATTCCCAATTGCATCCCTGAAATATTATAAACCCCTAGAGGACAGTACCAAAAGACATTCATCTTTGTACAAAGCTATGAAGCCTTTCAGCCTGCATGGAATGTAGATACTTCTCCACAAGGGGGCAATGGCGACTTATTTCAGGACATTTTCTGGGTGCAGCGTGGGGATGAGTGCATTTGGGAATGGCTTAGGCCGCGGTCCCTGGCTTCAGACAAATTCTGCCCCCACTGCCTGGGCTCTGGCCTGGCTGCCAAGTTTCCCACAAGGACTTCCTGGGGATCTTTGGCAAGATTCCTGGATTGGGAATGGATCCACTTTCAGTGTCCCTCCCTTCACCACATTAAGCAGCTGCTCCAGCCCAATGTCCTAAGTCAGAGTATGCTACAGAGGACAGTTACCAAGTGTGCTTCCTCTTCCTTTCCCTGAGAAATCTACATCCCTGTGTTTCAACCCACTTTCCCAATACTTCCCAGTTATTGGAAACCTGAACATATTGAGATCCTCCTCTATGTTTCCCCTTCCCTCACCTTTTGACTGGTACTTAGGATTCACACTTGGCCCTTGTCCACTCCCCATGGAGACTTCTGACCTGATTTCTTCTTCTTTTCTAGAGAATGTCTATGAAGTGGCCAGGTAAGATAGCCTCTCCTCATCCATCTTCTGACCCTTTCCCTGCCCTCAGTTCTGTAGAGCACTGGCATGGAAGAAAGGGGGTTTGGCACAGGCACAACCTTAAGCCCAAATGCCTTCAGGGTCAGGGCACAGCTTTCTTCCTTCTCTTAAGTACCTGCTGAGGTTATGTCCTGACCCACCAAACACACAGGATAATTCTAGTCCACCAGCCCTTTGTTCCCAGAATCTCTGGGTGACAAGAACCTGTGGGTCAGTTGGCAAGGATTGGGGCAGAAGGGTGGGAAACCAGGGTCCCAGCCTCAAGTTCCTCCTATGGGTGGTGGGCTCTTGGACCACAGTGTGCATGCCAGGGAGGCCAGTGACTCTGGTGAATCCATGAGGGTGGACATCTTCGCAAGTGGCTGCTCCAGTGAAGAGCCAGCTTCCCGGACTCTGGGCAACGACTACTTTGATGAACCCTGCTTGGGCCAGGAGTACTAGATCATCGCCCAGATAAACAGTGACTATACTCGCCTGCTGTACACAGTGCCCCTGGATTATAAGCTTCTGACCACCAAGGGCAAGAATGCGTGTTAAGATCCTACTAAGCCAGAGTCTGCTGACATAATTGCTTTTCTAGTCCCTGCCTTCTGCATAGCCTCCTTCCCTGTTACCTCTCTTCCTGGATAGCCCAACATGTCTTCCCTGCCAACAGTGGGATCCCTATGAATGACTCGCTTTGCTTAAGAAGTTGCCATATGCACTCAAGCAAGCCTGCTGATGGGTTGGGCCTTGAGCCCTTCTATTATCCCTGTCTGGGATTTCTGCTGCTTCTCTCCAAATGTGAGAGGGAAGTGCCCGTAGCACTAGGACTTGGTCATCATACCTCCAGACACCACTTAACTGTGGTCTCTTGTCACCAGAAGACCAGAGGGGGAGGCTCAGCTCTGCCAGCTCAGGGGGTCAGTTGTGTCCAGAAATATTCCCCTTTCTCCAGGGTCAGATAATTTTTAATTGAGATGATCATGTAACAGGCCAGGGTTCAGTTCTGCTCCTATGCTGTGAGTCTAGTGCTCTGATATTATTTTGGTGCTCAATAAATATCTAAACATAATAGCAACCTTGGTTGTATTGGTCTTCTCTCAAGGACCTACCAAGAGTGATTAAAGTGAGACTAGTTGAGATGATTGGGACCTTGGGAGTATGGATAGCACCTTTGTTTTTTTTCGGTCTTCCTCCTTCCCGCCCATGCCACCTTGACATCACTTCAGAGGTGGGCCAGCTGGAACACAATAAATCTTTGGTAAAAGAGTACTTGACTGCCTTCCATTATTCCCTTCCCAATCATTCTGCCAGTTCCATCTGGTGACTCTTCCCAGGTCACTTGGAAACCTGAGTAAAAGGAACCCTTCTTCTGTCTCAGAAGACTGTGGATGCAAAGATAAAGAGGTCCCATCCTCTTCTTTCCAAAGTATGGATGCATCACCCTCAAGGGTTTCTGCTTCCTGGAATCCTAAAATCTTTGGAATAGTTGTATTCTTCATAGGTCATCCCTATCTTCTGGTCGCTTCTTAAATATAGGGTGGAGTTAAGAGCAAGGAATTATTTCTCCTCAAGCAGGAATGGGGAATAGATGTGTGTGTGTGTGTGTGTGTGTGTCTGTGTGTGTGTGTGTCTGTGTGTGTGTCTGTGTATGTGCACACAGGCATACATCTCTCTTCTGTGAGGGACTGTTCTGGGTCAGGTCAACACTGCTCTTCTCTTTCATGTAAAATCAACTTCTTCATTCTTCATTGAAGCTAACATGTTGCCACATTTGTTTCCAATACAACCCCAAGGTCACCTAAGGTTTCACCAGGAGCTGCTCCCCTTTGAGATGATTATGGAAGTCAAATAGTACACAAAAGTGAACAAGGAGAAGTCCTCCACTTTACCACCACCAACCTGCCAAGTCTATGGTCAAAACCTCAGTGTTTCTCTCATACCCAGATGCCAGCTTCACATAGCTCATGAAAAGAGCAACTTCTTCTTCCTCATCATGCTTACAATCCTCTGAAATAGGGCCCCCACCCAGTGGAAACCTCAGCTTCCTTCATGAACAGCTCTGTGTCCATACCCCAGTCTTTGAAAAAAGTCATTATCTATTCCTACTACCCTTAGAGAAAAGAATTACTGAGGTTGAGAAGAGAATCCTAGTTGCATGTCCATTGGTAAAAGGAGCCCCAAATACAGGGACCACTTCTGTCATAGAAGCAATAGACTCCCAGGGCTATCTCAGAGTCTCTTGTCTTAGAGAGCTTAGAGATTATTGATTTTAACTCTGCCATATTACAGATGAGGAAATGAAGCCCAGAGATAAACAATGACTTGTCTAAAGTCAAACATATGAAGTCAGTCGTAGAACAGAGACCAGATGTCAGGTCTGTAAACTCCTAGGAGAATATATTCATTGCAACAGGAAACTTCTGGAGATCATCTGTGCCTCAAAACTGATAATTTTTTTCATCCAAGACAAGCCAGTAAAGAGTTTTAGGTATTGGGCTACCTTCAAAACTTCAGGATACGCTAAACAAAAATGGGTTGATAATATAGGACCTGACTTAGGCACATGGTCAGGGGAAAATAGAGGAGTAAAAAGAGATCTCCAGAAGAGAGAAATAATAAAGTTCCCCTAGAGAACTTTTCTAAATTTTGTTCCATGAAACATTAGACCCAGGAGATGGCCCACAGGGGAGAAAAATCACAATCAAATAGGCATGGGTAATGCTTTGTTCTATAGCTCCTTGTTAGAGATTTCCAAAGCAACATTAGACTATTAAAGGCTCTGAAAAACCCTGCAATAAAACACCTATATCACTTTGTGTTACCAAGTAATTCCAAAATGTATTTGCCCCGTTTGCCCTCTTCCTCCAGCCCTTGACCCTGTTTCCCAGGAAGAAAAATCCTTCATGTTGGCTATTACCTTGAACACCCTATAGCATTGTAGTGACTACACTTTAATTTTTTTTCTCTCACAAAATTCGTGGATGGCATTTGACCCAAAGCCCCAAAGGTAATGGACTAGTGGAAAGTCAATCAATCAGTAAACATTTATTGAGTATTTTCTGTAATCAGAGTATTGTGCTGGGATCTGGGGTAGGGATGGAATGGAGAGATAGCAATCAAGGAAACATAATCTTGTCCTCTAGAAGCACACAATCTAGTGGGGAATTTAAAAATATCCTCTGAAAAAGTTCACTAACAATTCAAGGGCTGTCATTGGGCAGTAGGAAATAAAGGTTTACATACAAGGACCCAGGGAAGATGTGCTTTGAGAATAAAGAAGGAAAAAGTGTACATTGACTTTCAGAAGTCCCTGGAAAGATTGGACTTTGGCTGAACCAGGACATACGGGAAAGAATTAGATAGGCAGAAAGAAATGAAGATGGTATTCCCAGAAGGCGAAAAGGCATGAGGAAAAGGAGAGAGATAGGTGAGGTCAAAGTGTGCTTAGAAGCCAAAGTTGAGTGTCAGGAAAGTGAGTTTCTAAGCCCTGTCATGACGCTTGGGTAAGAATTCTGGTGTCCTTGCTGGGGGACTCTGGAAGGAAGCGTGAAGGAAGAAAGTAAAGAATCAAGTAGCACTTTCATCCCTGGGCCCTGGATACCTTTTCAAGACTATTGTATCCCTCTCAGGATCCCAATATATGTATAGACACTGCCCAGGGCTATGGCTTCCAGAGCTGTCTTACTTTTCCACACTTCCCCTCAGATACAATGCTTCCATTCCCTCAAAATCACCAAAAATGACTTGTGAGAGCTTAGTTGATATTTGACATGTGTTCTTTTATCCAGTTGATAGTCTATTTGTCATATCTCAACTTCCCTGGCCTGAAGCTGCTAGGCATGTGCCGCACTTGGGGTATTTGACAAACTGACACTCTACCACATGGAGTGTCCAACTCAGCTTGTCAAATACACGGAGCGTGGCACTGCAGGAGGCCAGGCCAGGGGCTTCAGTGGGGAGGTGAGATCTTCCTGGAAGATGTGGCCCTGGAAGATAAAAGAGAGAAACAAATCACACCCTGAATCCCAGGGAAACTGCACAGGCTGTAGGGACTAGCCAAAGCACAGGAATAGGGAAGTGAGCAAAACAGGCATGAGGCTCCTAACCAAAAGAGGGATACTGAGGGTAGGTAGGGAACACCCAGTTGAGACTGCAGGTGAGGCCCCAGTAATCAGCTGGGGCTTCCTCAGGCCTGAGTCTTAGAGCTATGGCATTTTTAAGGATCCCAAGCTTTAGTGGGATCCTCTATGTAGCACAGAGAGAGTAATTTGGTTCTCATCCTGCCTCCCTGACCTCCGGAAAGAATCAAGCCCCAGAACCAATACCCATGCCCCCACTTCCCAACCCTCTAAAACAATGTTCTTACAGTGTTGTGGATATGAACTTGAGCTTTGAGGTTAAACATGGGCTTGAATCCTAGCTCTGCCATTATTTAACTGAGAAACTTTGGATAAATTATTTCATCTCTCTGAGCTCCAGTTTTCCACATCCACAAAATGGGTATAAGTATAGTACCTGCTTAATAAGTTATAGTGAAATGACATGAGATAATGTATGTGAAATCCTTAGTTCAGTATTGAGTGCATAGCAAATGCTCAAAAAATGGTACTTGTCCTGACAGAAGGAAGGCAAGGGCCGGTGACAATTGATTTAACAAGGCCAGGACAGATAAAACAGAAGTGTCTGATAGCATCAGCCTTACCTAACATTGTCCCCTTATGCCATTAGGACTCAAGAATGGCAGCTATAGAAGAACTAGCATCTAATCTCACCGACTCATATTATAAATGAGAAAATAAAGGTTCATGTTGAAGAAGAGAATTGCTAAAGGTTACACAAGCTGTTCACAGTTCAGAGTTCTGCCCTATATCAACCCGCTGTGCCATCCAGCTTTCCTCATCAGTCCTTTTGCTTCCCTGCTCTCTGGGAAAAGGGAGACACATCAAACGAGGAAGGCAAAAGATAAGCAGTGGGCTTGGTAGTGAGGCATTGGAATCCTTCAACTCACAGCCATCAGGGAAATCAGGAAGCTGCCAGGAGCATGCATGGTCAGGCCTAGAACTTCTGGGAGAGCACCCTTGGCAACACCCAGACCTGTTGCTAAAACTTCCATGTTATCTTTATCAAATTCACCTCCTTCTCAGCTGCGGCAGTTGATCTGTGAGAAATTAAATACTGGCATGAAAAGCAGGGCATCAGGAATAGAACCATTCCAAGGTTAACAGAAATAGGAAACTACTCCATGAGTCCATAAAGCCCTGTCCCAGCGAAAATAAGGCAGAAGTCTTGTCTTTCAGGAAAAAAAAATCAGTGTTTTTATTATCTTAACTCTTTTCGTTGAGTGTATGGTGGTAAGGGGGTGACATGCCTCTTTAATTTGAGATCTGGGAGTGACTTCAAACTTAAAGTTCTAAAATGTCTTTCCCATTCTTTCATTTTCCTCTCTACCTACCCAATCCATCTCCAGCAACCCAGAAGTGTGGCCTTTTAGCCAAAGCAATGATCATTGTCAACAGATATGGTAGAGTGGAAAGAATCAGACAATCTTAGATCCTAATGCTGCTCTGGGCACCAACTAGCCAATCATGGCATTGGGAACATTTGGAGGGGAGGCCTCATTTCTTCTCTGGAAATGGGAATAAGAAGACTTACCTGGCAGAGTTGTTAGAAAAGTGTTCAATGAGCTTTCCAGAGCATCCCATATAGGAGCCCACAGGCACCTTGGCTTAGTCCCTTGAGCTATAGGTAGAGGCCAGCAAAGGAAGCTGATTAATAGACTTTGAGTTCAGGGTGGCAGGGGAGAGAGAACTGGACTGGTGCCTTTCTTCTATCATCTCCCTCATTGGCTGCCAGCTCAAGTGAGAAGACCTGCATAAACTGGAGGCATCCACAGCCTCCTGAACACCCTTTCTGACTTCATCAAAATGGAAGAGAGATTTTTAGGAGGCTAAAGTTTCCTTTGTAGTACACTAGAAGTTAAAGAGCTTTATAACCCATATTGCCCCAGTATTACTGGAAGGAGTCAGTGGCTGAGCTAAAACGAGTTTCATTTCCACTCTTGATGTTCTGGTCCATGCCTCTCCAACAGAGTGTATATAAGAAAAGCAAGTTCTGTTGAGAAAGGCTGACCAGACCCATAGGAAGAAGTGAATATCTACATGAAGTGATAGTGAGGGACTCTGAAAGGTTTTCTCTTGGTCTGTCATACTACATAAAATATCATCATTGGCCCTCTGCTCCACCCTAGAAGGGCTAACATACCAAGAAGCAGGACTTATCCTGCAACTGACTCAGTTGGACCTTCTCATACTAGGGGCAGTCTCAATTATTTCAGGCATTGTTCAGCCCCCTATTCAGCCCCACCCAGAGATATCTACTCACTTTCATGCCGTTTTTCAACAGAGGGCTGACAACCATCTCAAAAAAGGATATAAAAACTAAGAGTCTCCAGACACTACCCATCTAATCTTTCCCCCCCTCTTCTTCACAGCAGAGACCAAAAAAAGTCATAGAATGGAGAAAAGACTTCCTCTAAGAAACACAGTAGGTAAATGAGGTAAATGGCAAAACCAGGACTGCTACTCAAATTTTCTGACTCCTGGTTCCAGAGAACATTCTACTTCCATGTGTATATCTCCTAAAAAGCATATTTTAGGAGAAAATGTCACCTCCCTTTTTCACTATTAGAAGTTACAGGATAAAATACCAGTGGAAGCCTTCTTCTCCTCCACCCTGACCCAGTATCCCTGAGGAGGGTTCAAGGAGAATGAGATGGGCAGGTAGCCATGGACACTGCCCCAGCTTGGAAATCCAAGTAGAGAGGGCAAATGGATACTATACCTGTTACTGAAGTGATGCCTTGGTCTCAGAGGAGGCACAGGTTCTCTGGTGATGAGCCAAACTGCGCAGTCTTGAGGGAATTGGGCTTTGTGCCGTGAGCAGGAACGTTGTGTGTTTTGAAGGGCCCTTGGTTTCTTCAAGAGGAAACAAAAATGAGGAAGATAAGGCTGAGGTTAGCCAACGGAAATCTGGGTGCAAAATGACAAAACAGTGCTGTTGTGAAAGGGTCCACTACTGCAGCAACAGTTCCCACTGCCATGCCCCGCCCATTCCCAGCCAACCTCCAACAGATACTGGCTCCCCAAATTTCAGAAAGTCAGAGCAAAAAGCCCCTGGGTGCCCTGGCTCTGGTATGGGCCAGGGAGGTTTCCCCAGAGCTACAAGGGAATCCTGGAATGTCAGAGCTGAGACATTATCAAATGAAAATCCCCATTGTCAAAATTGAGAAACCGACCCGCTTAGGGATGTTAGAAATTGCCTGAGAGCAAAAAGCAAATTAGTGGCATAGCTGGAATTTGAATCCCTTCTACCAACTCCAAATTGTGTGTCCTATCACTCTGGCAGAATGCCTCCTAGTCCTGAAATACCCTTTGTTACCTCCCCTGGCACAGGTACATAATTTGCAAGGCCCAGTCCAAAATGAATATGAGGATATCCTTGCAAAAAACAAAAAAAGAATTTCAAGATGGCAACAGCAGAACATTAAACCAAGTATGGGATCTTTGTAAGCACAGGGCCCTATGAAACTTTACTGGTCACGTGCCTGTGAAACTGACCCTGCTGGCACAGGCCACATTCTGGTATCCAGGGGCCTTGCAAAAGGGAAAAAAAAAAAGAAAGAAAATTCACATTTATTTTATTTTTTTTAAGATTTCTTTATTGGGGAATTGGGGAAGAGGAACAGCCAAGTTGTCCTTCAATCTTAGTTGTGGAGGGTGCAGCTAGCTCAGCTCCAACTCCAGTTGCCATCCGGCTGCCCATGGGCAGCTCAAGGCCGCTCAGCTCAAGGTGCCGCGTTCAATCTTAGTTGCGCATGGGCGTAGCCCACCATCCCATGTGGGAGTTGAACCAGTAACCTTGTTGTCAGGAACATGAGCCATCCTGCCACCTGTTGGCAGCTCAACAGCAGCTACACTTGGGCGGGCGCAGCTCACTGGCCCATGTGGGGGTCAAACTGGCGACCCTGTTGCTCAGAGCTCGCGCTCTTAACCAACTGAGCCACTTGGCCGGCCCGAAAATTCACATTTATTAAAGAACTTAGTATGTGCTTTACATTTGTTATCTCATTTAATCAACAACTCTGTATTATGGCATTTTCATTATCATTATTTATAGGCAAGGAAACTGAGGTAAGAAGTAAAGGGACTTGCCTAAGGACAAAAAAAACTAGAAAATAATGTAGAAGGGAGGATCTGCACTCAGGTCTTTCTGAATCCACATGTTAGGCTTTTTCTACTCTCCCACATTAGTTACATGGAGGGGGGTGGAAAGTAGCTGATCTTGAGAAGGAAAAAATGGTGCCAGACCCTTAATTGTGATGTTCAAGCTTCATGAGGGACATGAAAGTTATAAGAAGAAAGTAAATGGCTTCTTAACACTTTGTTTTTGCAATCTTTGGGCAGTCCCCATTCACAGCTAAGAAAATGCTAGATTCCCCTTATGCAGTGCTCTACATCATGAATCCTGATGATGTGGCAGATGGGAGAGGCAATTCCTGCAATGCTTTTAGGGTATACTTGGGATCACCTTCAACAACTGCAGTGCCCAAGTCCAGTCCTTGGTCTACATAGCAGAAGTAGGATCCTGGGAAGTACTCAAACCCCAATGAGTAATCTATCCAAGCTACATATAGTCTTCTTATACATTCAGGTTCAAGAGAAAAAAAATATATCCTGGGAGCCAGGAGTTCTGTGTCAATGTCCCAGATCTGCCAACTCTGTTCCCCCTCTTAGCCTTGGTTTTCCATTTAACTAACAGAGGTTGGACTGTATGATCTTGGTGGCCTCTACAACTCAAACATTCCCTGGTTCTTTTATAACCCCCTCCATCCCTGTCCACCCCCACCTCACTGTGGGCTTCCCTGTGGTTGCAGGGCCTAAAGACTCTAGAGACAGCCTAGGATAGGGGTTCACTTGCACTCATACTACTCTGCAGAAAACTTCCTTCTAACAGAATAATGTATTGGCTTAGTCCTCGAGACCAGTTTCCCTAGACCTGGCTTCTAGAAAGACCGAGTTCCTTTTTCTTTTTGGTTTCTGACTAAAGCTTGGGTTGGAGGCAGGTTTGTCCTGTGGGCACTTTCTTAGCGAAGGATCTCCTTCTCACTATTCACACCATAGTCATTAAGTTCAGCTACCTGTTTTTTATTTTTTCACCTACCAGTTAAGGCATTCTACTGGCTTTTTAACAGGGACCTTCTGGAGACAATGTCTTCCCTTAACATAGTAATTAATGGTGGCTACTTTGGGCCCCACAGTAGGTCCATGAAAGAGCACTAGGAGCCAGGAGGACCTTCAAATCATGCCATCTATGCCGAAGGCCTGAATTAGAGCAAAGGGCTTTGGGCTCCTTGGAGTTCCTCTTTACTTAATAATACAAAACATGCTGGGAAGGGCCAAGTTTGCAGCAATAGCACAAAGGGGACTTTTCCTTTAGGCCTGTTTTCCAGCCAAAAGACATGGAGTCCTCACATTTTTAAAGCTCTTTGAGTTGGCTATACTTATAAAGGGGGGATGAAGGAGAAGAGAGTTGGATGTGGTCTCAGGCAAACAGTGCTGAGGTCCCATACTGTAAACACATTCATTTATTAACTCAGTGCTGGAATGAAAAGAACACTGCATTTTGAGTCAGATTCCCTGTGTCTTAGACCCTAGGTTACAGCCCCTGGCTTTTAGACTCAGCTCTGTAACTCATTAACTATATGCCCTTGAAAAAGTATGCACGACCTGTCTGAACCTCAGCCCATCACATCATATTGAGGGATTCTTGGGCTAGAGGGGAGAGAGACACAGGTATGCACCCAAGGAACAATGTCTGTCTACAGTATGAGACAAGTGATTTGGCAAAGGTACAGAGTGCTATCAGAAATATGGGTAAGAAAAGAGTGATTCTCCCAGGGCAGGAGGTGAAGAGGTGGTAGTATTTAAAGAGGTTCTTAGAAAAGTAGGATTTTAGCTAGATTTTAAAGGATGGAGAGAGAAAATAACAATGCTCACTGCCTCTGGAAAGCCTCTTCTGACCATGCCTCTCCCAGTTAAATTAGTTGCTCCTTGCTTTGCCCACCTCTAGTCTTAAAATCCTGTCCACTCTGCAGACTTTATGTGTTTGTCTCTCACGGGAGACCAAGATCTTCCCAAAGTAGAGACTGTGTCTGATCACTTCCTTTCTTTACAGGGCCAGGAAAGAAAGAGTTGCCCCAGACTCTGAGTTGAATAAATGAATGTGTCAGTGCATAACCAAATGAAGGAGACCTCTTAGTCCAAGTTTCCCATAGTCCTTAGCTTACCTCACCTCCCTGAAGGAACTGAGAAGGCCCCCCTCAACTTTGAGTTCATAGTTCATCTTCCTGTTCACCTACCCCCACCTCCTATCGGAAGCCTGTAAAGAAAAGGCCCCAGGGACAATTGCAAAGCGGAAGCCACTTCCTGTGCAAGAGGCCAGTTTCCACATACTCCACCTCAACCCTGGTTATTGCTGCGCATATGATTGCACTGGGGCTTCCTCTGAAAGGAAACCCAATGGCTGATGCAATATAGAGGGCACCCCCAGGCCAGGACTGAAGAACTTCATGTACATGTGGGCCTGGAGACAGAAGGTTCACTGTGAGGTTCCCCACAAACCCAGTGATATTGACAAGATAGGTGGCAGCAAGTAACCTACCAACTACAGCTCAACTTCATTCAACAAGAGTGTGTTGAGTACTTACTGGCTGCAAAGCTTTATGCTTGGCACCATGGGGGAAAATAAATATACAACAGAGCAGTAATATAGGTCTAATAGAAATATAATGTAAGCCACAAATTTTCTAATAGCCACATTAAAATTTTGAAAGATAAATAGGTAAAAATAATTTTGATAATATATTTTATTTAACCCGATGCACCCAAAACATTATCTTAACTTATTAGCAATTTTAAAAATTGTTAATATTTTACATGCTTTTAAATGCATGTATTTTACATTTACAGTACATCAAAATATGGACTAACCATGTTTCCAATGTTCAATTGCCACGTGTAGCTAGTAGCTACCACACTGGACAACACAAGTATAAGATGTCCCTACCCTCAAGGAATTTACAGCCTAGTCCAGGATCCAGACTGATACATAAGCATGTACAAGAAACAAGTACTATAGTGGAAGTGCATGTATGGAAAATATCACTGTGTCAAAAGTCAGGAGACTTAGGCTACAGTCTTTTATCTACCACTGATTCTCTGTGTGACCTTGAGTAAACCCTCTCCCTCAATGGGCCTCTCTATTTCCATCTCTACATTGAGGCTGGACCAGATTTATTCAGTCAACAAATATGTGTTAAGTGTTTTCCAAATATTAGGCATGGTGAGAGGCACTCAGGATCTAGGGAGCAAGGCACGTAAGATACCTGCCTTCTTGACACTTGCAGTGTGCTGGAAAATAGTTTTAAACAAATAATTCCATGTAATATATGAAAGGGGGAAACACAGAGACCTGGAAGAACACACAGCAAGGGACCCTCATTGACCAGGCTTGGATATGATCAAGAAAACACCTCAGAGGAAGTAGCATTTGAAGTAAGACTGAGGAATAAGAAAGGGCGAACCAAGTGAATAATTGGTAAAAAGCCATTCCAGACAGAAGAAACAGCGTGTGTAAAGGCTCTGAGATGGAAAAGAATATGGCCTACTCTATGAAGATAAGGAGGCGAATATGGCCTGTAATATAGTGAGCAAAGAAAAAAATAGCTCAAAGCAAGGTAGGAATGGTAAACAGGAAAGCCAAATAGAGGAAGGCCTTGTATGCTAGGTTGAGGATTTGAAACGTCCAATGAGACATGAAAAACCAGAGAAGGTACAGATAATGCAGTGCCCTTCCATCTCCAAGCCAAAGAA